CCATGTTTGCTGCAGGGTGGAAGCGTGCCTGTGCTGGTGGATAGGAGGGGGCAGGCAGCTTGCTAGGGTAGAGCTGGGCAGGGATACAGGAGCCTGGCTACCATCAGGGCTCGCAGGGCCTCCCGGTGCCTCCAAAGGCACAGACCCCTGTTTCTCCTCATGGCTGCTTGGCGGGGGCTGCCCGGTGCAGCAGAGGAGGGAGGTGGAGAGAGTTGGAGTCCTCGCTGGTCTCCTTGTCCCTGCTGACCCCATCTCCCCCCATGGTGGCCGGAGGCTGCAGAGAGGGCAGCGTGCCCATGGGGCTGCATGCCTGCGGGGCTGCATGCCCACCATCAAGCCAGCAAAAGTGCCGTGAGAGCTGGGCACCTTTCCTCGCCCTCAGATCACAGCCCGCAGCCATCATTTGTGGCATGTGGCAGCCCCTCGGTGCCGGCCAGCGGTGCTCGCGCTCCTCCCCAGCCGCAGCTGTGCATCATTAGTGACTTGTCTCTTTTATCCGGAGGGTGTGGGAGTGTGTGTTGTGTGTGCGCAAAGATTTGGCGAGGGACCAGCACATGCAAGCCCGGGCTGCATGTCTGGCTTCTCACTGAGCCCTCTGGCCAGTCATTTGGTCCCTGTGGCTCATCCTCCTTCTGCAACGCCAGTGCCACATCTGGCGGCGGTGGGTCTCTTCTCCCGGAACGTGCTGCAGGCCAGCCCCTCGCCTCGCGCCGTGCCCACACGCAGCCCGGGTGCCGGATCCCAAACGCCATCTCAGATCGGCACTGCCCTCCAAACCCCGGAGAGAAGCTCCTCGCTGAGGTCAGCCTGCACAGGCGCTCAGCCGGCAAGGGGGCTCTCATGCGGAGAGCTTGCGCCCTGGCATCTTTATTTAACTCAGAAATCCGCCGGCTAAGCAAGATTTCTCAGTGGGAAGAGCACCAGCGGCTCAAATTGCTGAGATGAGTTCTCATAGCAGCAGAGTTTTATTCCCCTGTCCCAGGCTGAGCGCTTGCGGCCACTCCAGAGGGACACGGCAGGAGGGGGGAACCAGGGTGCCCTGGGGGTCAGCAGCTATTCCCCCAACCCAGGGAGCCAGCAGCCAGGGTGTTCGGAGGAGGAGATGGCAGACTGGGAGGGCTGGTCTGCCCTGCCCCACTGCTCCTGCCTACCCCTCAAGCTGCAAAGTGCCCGGGTGCCCCAAGCAAGTGCCTGTGCTGGGGCTACTGTGGGCAGCCCCGTGTGCCTCAAACCCGGGGAAGCCGGGCAGGCAGAGCCCTCCCCCTGCCAGAGGTGTGGGCACAGCTGGGGGAGCTGGGCAGCAGCCCAGGGGTGGCCATCGGTCTGCCCCAGCATCACTCATCCCTCGGCACAGGGGGCTGCTTTGCATAAGGGGAAACTGAGGCACGGAGCAGGGGTGTCTGCAGGGAAATCTGCTCCATTCCCATCCCTCGCGCAAATCTCTTTTCAGCCTAGGGAGCAGCAGCTCCATCCTACGGGCACACGCGCTGCGCAAATCACTGCCCTGCCTCTTCCGTGGGCCCCTGCTGGCCCCCGGGGCCGGCTCCTGAGGGGCTTGTTTTGGGGAAGGGGGGGTGCGGGGTGTGAGGCTGGCTTGGGGGTGTGCTGCGCTGCACTGCACGGGGAAGGAAGGGGGGAGCTGCCGGAGGGTCGTGCTTTACCCGGGAGCTGGAGAGCTGCGAGAGCGTTGCGTAGGTGTGCTCGCCGCCGTGCCGGCCGCTCAGCTGCCGCAGGGACTCCAGGCTGGCCGTCCCGCTGCTCAGGCCCTTTTGGCATCCGACAGTGCGCACCAAACAGAAACAGGACAGCGGGTGACCGATGGCTCTGCCCTGGCCCCGGGGACAGTGGCTCTGGGCACCGGGATGGGGACAGCAGGGGGACAGGGGCTCCGCGTAGGGGGGAAAAGCCCCTCTAGCAGTGCCCGGGCACCAGGATCTGTCTTCAGCACATGCTGAAGAGATTTGGCTGCATAGGGCACTGTGACCCTGTGTGCTGTATATGTGTCCTCATGTTTTCCGTGGAGGTCTGGTGCCTCGCGGTGTGCTTACAGCAGGAAAATGAGAGTGGGGCAGTCGCGTGCCTTCCCTGAGCATCCCGCAGGCCTGACGCCTGCGCCGATGGGCTGACGGAGGGGAGGGCTGTCCTGTGAGTGTGGGACACTGCCTCTCCAGGCTCTGCTGTGCTCCCGTCTGCAGCCCAGACCCTGTCCCTGGCTGCCACCAGGTCCCCTTGGTGCTTCACCGCCCTGATGCAGCACAGAGCTCCTGTCACCGCTGCGGCACAGCGAGGAGCCCAGGTTTGGGGCTGCAGGTAAGGGGAAAGGCTGTTTCCCCCACCCTTGCTGCTTATTTTGCTGCTTTTTTAGAGGAAGCAGAACTCGAGGAGGTCCCCCGGCAGAAGGATGACGGCACCCTGGGCACGTTTGTGCTGGCAGGGCGTGGGGCACCCATGGGTGCTGCGCAGTGTGCTGCTCAGGCAGGCAGAAGGACTGCGATGACTGTGGGTTCCTGATGTGCTGGAGGAGCCGGCTGCAAGCCCCGGGCGGTGGGACACAGCCCAGCACTGAGCCCTGCCTTGGTGGCGGCTGAGAAACTGGCCCTGTAGCCCCGGGGTGTCCCCTCGGTGGCTGAGGATGGGCAGATATCATGACAGCGGTGGTGGGAGGGACTCACCATCCTCTGCCGCCGCTGGCGCCGGCGGAGGCGCATGAACTCCTTGTGCTGGCGGGAGACAAAGTTGACGGCTGCGTACTCCAACAAGGCGGCAAAGACAAAGACCAGGCACACGGCCATCCAGATGTCGATGGCCTTCACGTAGGAGACCTGCGAGGGAGACAAGGGGGCTCAAGGACCTGCTGCTCCCCACCTCACTCATCCCCCAGCTTCGCCCTGCTGCACAGGAGCCCTCTCAGCTGGAACACATGGGCCAGAGTTCACCTGGCCGAGCAGTGCCGTGTTCCACCTTGGCACGCGTGGTGCCCCAGCCGGCAAGGCTACAGAGTCAGCCGTTCCCGAGGGAAGGCTTCCCCTGCCCGTGGGGCACTGGGGGCAGCAGCGGACACCCCGGGTGTCCCCGGCAGGCTGCGGTGCAGGAGCCCGGCATGGAGCCAGCACTGACCTTGGGCAGGGAGGCACGGGAGCCGGCGCTCTGCGTGGTCATGGTGAGCACAGTGGTGATGCCCAAGCCCACCCGGGCTGGTGCTGCGTCCATGTTGATCCAGAAGGAGACCCAGGATAGGATGACGATGAGCAGGCTGGGGATGTACATCTGGATCAGGTAGTAACCCATCTGCCTCTCCAGGTGGAACTTCACCTCGATGCAGGTGAACTTGCCTGCAGGGAAAGACATCCCCAATGGGTGAGGGGGACCTCTTGGCTGTGGCTGGGGGGGGGGGGGGGGG